GCCCTCCCCCCTCCCCTCCCCCACCGAGGCCAAGCGGAGCCTCCTGGGCAGCGGCCGCTCCCACCTGGGCGACTTCACCTTCCTGATGGTGCTGGGCAAGGGCAGCTTCGGCAAGGTGAGAGATCCAGAGGGGAATTCCCGGGAATTCCCGAGAATTCCCAAAAAAAAACCGGGAAAAAACGGGAAAAAACGGCGCGAAAATGGCAAAAAACGACCCAGAAATGGCCCAAAATGACCCAAAAATGACACAAAATGACCCAAAATGACCCAAAATGAAGCCAAAAATCAGCTGGATAAAGCTGGGGGAGGTGAGAGTTCGGAATTCCTGGAAAATCCCGGGAATTCCCGAGAATTCCCAAAAAAAACCGGGAAAAAACGGGAAAAAACGGCGCAAAAATGGCAAAAAAGGACCCAAAAATGGCCCAAAATGACCCAAAAATGGCACAAAATGACCCAAAATGAAGCCAAAAGTCAGCTGGGGAAAGCTGGGGGAGGTGAGAACTTGGAATTCCTGGAAAATTCTGGGAATTCCTGGGAATTCCCAAAAAAATCCGGGGGAAAATGGGAAAAAATGGGAAAAAACGACTCAAAAATGACCCAAAATGACCCAAAAATGACCCAAAATGACCCAAAATGACCCAAAATGAAGCCAAAATTCACCTGGATAAAGCTGGGGGAGGTGAGATCCCAGAATTCCCAAAAAATTCCAGGAATTCCCCAAAAAAATCTGGAAAAATGGGAAAAAAACGGCCCCAAAAGAACCAAAAAAACTCGAAAAAATCCGGGAAAATTGGGGAGAAAAAATTGGGAAAAATTCCCAAAAATTCCCCCAAAAATTCCCAAAAATTCCAGAAAATTCCAGAGATTTTGGGATCAAGATCTGACCTCAGAACAACCCAAAACTGTTGAAAAAAAATCAAAAAAATCTGAAAAAAACCGTAAAAAATCGGAAAAAAATCCAAAAAAAAATCCCCAAAAAATCAAAAAAAAATTGGAAAAATCTCAAAAAAATTCCCAAAAAATTCCTAAAAACCCCAGAAAATTCCAGAGATTTTGGGATCAAGATCTGACCTCAGAACAACCCAAAACTGTTGAAAAAAAATCAAAAAAAATAAAAAAAAACCCATAAAAAATTTAAAAAAAATCGAAAAAAAATCAAAAAAAAATGGGAAAAAAATGGGAAAAATTCCCCAAAAATTCCCAGAAATTTCTGGAACATTCCCGGCCCTCTCCAGGTGATGCTGGCGGAGCGGAGAGGCTCGGCCGAGCTGTTTGCGGTGAAGATCCTCAAGAAGGACGTGGTGGTGCCATCAAAAACAGCCCCGAAAATTCCTAAAAAATGCTGGGAAAAAATTCCCCCAAAAATTCCTAAAAATTCCCAAAAACTCCAGAAAATTCCAGAAAATTCCAGAGATTTTGGGATCAAGATCTGACCTCAGAACAACCCAAAACTGTTGAAAAAAAATAAAAAAAATCCGAAAAAACCCGTAAAAAATCAGAAAAAAATAAAAAAATAATCCCCAAAAAATCAAAAAAAATGGGAAAAATCCCCCAAAAATTCCCAAAAAATTCCTAAAAACCCCAGAAAATTCCAAAGATTTTGGGATCAAGATCTGACCTCAGAACAACCCAAAAAAGTTGAAAAAAATCAAAAAAAAATCAAAAAAAATCATAAAAAATCGAAAAAAAATCAGAAAAAAATCAAAAAAAAATCAAAAAAAAATGGGAAAAAATGGGAAAAAAATGGGAAAAATTCCCAAAAAATTCCCAGAAATTTCTGGAACATTCCCGGCCCTCTGCAGGTGATGCTGGCGGAGCGGAGAGGCTCGGCCGAGCTGTTTGCGGTGAAGATCCTCAAGAAGGACGTGGTGGTGCCATCAAAAACAGCCCCGAAAATTCCTAAAAAATGCCAGGAAAAATTCCCCCAAAAATTCCTAAAAATTCCCAAAAACTACAGAAAATTCCAGAAAATTCCAGAGATTTTGGGATTAAGATCTGACCTCAGAACAACCCAAAACTGTTGAAAAAAAAGCAAAAAAATCTGAAAAAAACCGTAAAAAATCAGAAAAAAATCCAAAAAAAATCCCCAAAAAATCAAAAAAAATTGGAAAAATCCCAAAAAAATTCCCAAAAAATTCCTAAAAACCCCAGAAAATTCCAAAGATTTTGGGATCAAGATCTGACCACAGAACAACCCAAAAAAGTTGAAAAAAATAAAAAAAAAATAAAAAAAAAATCAAAAAAAATCATAAAAAATAAAAAAAAAAATCAGAAAAAAATCGAAAAAAACTCAAAAAAAAATGGGAAAAAAATGGGAAAAATTCCCCCAAAAATTCCCAGAAATTTCTGGAACATTCCCGGCCCTCTGCAGGTGATGCTGGCGGAGCGGAGAGGCTCGGCCGAGCTGTTTGCAGTGAAGATCCTCAAGAAGGACGTGGTGGTGCCATCAAAAACAGCCCCAAAA